GAGGTCCGGCCCGTTTGGAATAGAGGTAGTCCTGCCTCGCCTGGATCGCTTCGAGATTTTCGACAGGACATCATGCCAATAATTAATTTTCGAGGACGCTTTCTCCTAATAGCCCGCCTTTCTATCGACGCGTCTTTTTGGGACATCAGTGAGCCCGCATAGATTTTCGTTTCCTTGTTTACGATATCCGCGATAATTGCGTCCCGATAACTTGCGAAAAGCGCAGGACATTTAATGTTCAAGAAATTCATTTGAAAAAATGACGCGTTGAAACAATGTCGCTGAAATTACAGTCATAATACGCCGATATTTATCTTGAGATAAATTGAGATGTCAAAATTGAAATAAATTTGAAGGTAAAAATAAATAAAAAAAAAACTAATTCCGGTACCTTCCTTGACTTTCGAGTCCCGATTGCAAAAATCGATTATTGTGACATCTCCTCATCATCGGGACGAAATGTTATACCTGCATCCCGGCACAAGTGACGATTCAGCGCGACGTCGTTTCGCTGGCGAAATAATCGCCGTTAAATTAACGCTCACGTTTCACGTTCGCGAGGACGCGGAAATACAAAATCCCGCTGCAATCGCATAAATATGTACCCGGGCGTGCTCGCTCGTCTATGAAATGCTCCCGCGAAGTCGTCTCTCTGATTGGGCTTTTCAGTCGAGAAAATTCAAGTAGAAGAACATAATTGCTTGATCGGATTTGGCGCGGAGCCGTGCGCGGCGTTAAGACCCGGCGGGGCGGAACTATTGCCCGCAAACAGACGCGCGGCGGTGGCTGCGGAGGAGACGCCGCCGCCGCGCCGGCGAAATTCGCGAGCCGTCGCGTCGCGACTAAATCCACGAGGAAGCGTCGCGCGGCGACCGGCTGAAAACCGCCTGCGGATTCCTTCTCGTTTTTCCCTCATTTCCCGTCGTCTGTTTTGTGGCAGCGTCGGCGCGCACTTACGACGGAGCTTTTAATACGGCGCATTCGGTGTAGCTACTTGGGCCACGCCAATCGACAAGCGCGCACAAAAGACACCTTTGCACCTTTCGCGCGTTGCTAGCGGCGGAGATGAAAGGCCGAGCGAGGCTGGAAAAAAACAAAGAAAAGAAAAAAATTGGCGCGCGAGAGAGAGAGAGAGTACCGGGCGAGAAAATTCGATGAATAAAGGCTATCTAACGGCGAGGTTCTCTCGGCTAAAAAGAGGAGAGTAAAGGATATAAATGGAAAAGAGAGAGAGAGAGAGAGAGAGGGAGGGAAGGGAGGGAAAGAGAGTTCAGCGCGGTTAATTCCGGAAGGGAATTTCAGAATATCGATTCGCCGTCGAGTGGATCGTTTGCGAAACACATTGCCGGGCGCCGTTGAAACAACGTCATTAGGCTGCACAATTCATCGGCCGCAAATTTCACGAGCGCGCGTTCGAATGTGCGGCGGTTACGCCAATATTAATTTCATCCTTCGACCGGGCTCAAATTAGAGCGTATTCACGTACTGGTGATATCGGTCTCGCCGACGGCGAGTGCATCGCGCGGCGCGCTGCTAAGTAGATTACACGCGGAACATCTTTCGCTTTGCGGCGTGACGCTCGACGATTTGATTCTCGCGAGAAGCGAGAAACGAGAAGAGCGGAGAAGAGTCTCGCGGTTTTCGACGCACGCGAGGATTTGTTTATTCACGCGGCGGAAAACGTTCGCGCCACAGCAGCTTCGGATTTCCGCGCGAGATGCGAAGACGTCCGGCGGATAACAGCGAGGAGCGAGGAGGAGCAAGAGGCGGTGGAGGGGAAGAAGAAGAAGGAGAAAAAAAAGGAAGGAAGAAAAGAATATACACGGCGAAAGAGAACGTTCACTCGCACTTTCGCGCATTATCTACCGTTCGTCGTTATCCCCTTGCGCACACCGACTACCATAAGCCATTTCCGGATGGACGAGTTAGCCATCACCCATGCGGGTGAGAAATCCAGGTCAGCCCATTGCTGTCGGTTAGCTTTCGAGTCTCGTTCTTATCGGTCGCGGCATTACGCAAATGCGGGCGAATGTAGAGCGCGAAGATTTCGAGAACTGAAACCGAAAGTCTGCGAAACGACGCGCATTTCTTCCTGGCGTCTCGAAACGGGGCCACGTAGATAAATGGATTTACGGGGATGTTCTATCGGAACTCATCCGCGAGACACGCACGTCCTCAACGACACCAGGCAAAGGTTAATCAGCTCAGCAGCGCTGTTTCATAGGAAAAGATGGCGGGGCGGCAGCTGGTGAAGCAAAAACGTGCAGCGTCAGTGAGTGACCGGGAAGATATTATGAAGGAATATTAAATATACATAGTTGAGACTGTAAAATATATTTGAAGCTTCGGGGCATTTTCTTTCGAGTAACGACATTTCGAAATGTTCTGATCTTTTCTTGGAACGTGGAGAACTCACGAAAGCACGTGCGACTGAATGAGTACAAAACTAGTCCTATCGACTTGGAAGCATCTCGAGCAACATTTTCTCCAAATACAGACATTCGCATTCTTTATCAGCGCACTTGCCTGACGATGTTTCACTAATTTTTCGGGGGATGCCTTCGAAGGCGAGAGGCTACAGGGGCGCTCGCAGCGCAAATCGCGACAAATAATCCTTTTACGAGGAGCGGTCCCGGAGAGATAAAGTCGCGGAATCTTCCGTATTCCGCGCGAGCCCCGCGAAATTTCGTGCATCGCTCGCGCACTCGGCTCTTCCACTCTCGGCGGCGGGGGCGGGCAGGGAGACGACTCGCGAAATTGGACTCAGGAAAGATCAGCGGAGTTGTTGTACATCGTGACTCAATTCTCAAGCGGAGCGTCCCCATTTTGGCCACTGCAATTCTCCCCGCGCGATTTTTTGAAATTGGAGCCAGTTCGACGTTCGCAGCGTAACGCGGCGCACCGCCTCTGGTTTCCATCGGGATCGCGACGCGATTCCGTGTTATTCGAGTCACGAGTCGCGTCTCTCTCCGAGTCGAGTGTGTATCCCGGTGTCTCTTTCTCTTTTCCTCGTCGCTCATATGACGGATCGCGCTATCCGGGGACTCCGTCGTCCCGCTCCCTATCGGGGCAGCTGATTGACGCGGAGAGGAATTTTCCGCGTCACACCGCGACCGCGGAAAGCCGACGGCGATGTAAATTATCGCTCGCATCAGGCATTTGGACCTCTCTATGTTACGACGCGACGCGCGTAACTCTGCAGCTCTTCTGCTCAGAGAGTGAATTTGATGCGCGAGAAATGCGCGTACGAATTTTATGCATTGTAGCATAGAACGCTTCTTTCGAGAAACCTAACCTGATGTAATCGGGTTCTAGTTTGATCTCCCCGAAATCCATGCAAGTTAGAAGCGTAATGTTTCAGATACTCGACTCTCGGCAGGAAAGTTAAAGTTTTCCCTCCTTTCTCTGATCTTTGCTTTCACCCCAAACAAAGTAATTTCAGAACAAGCGGAGCCATTTAAATTTTATAGGATTTTATTTTTATATATCCTCAAGAAGATTCTTTAGATTAAGAGGAAAATATTAAACACGTTACTCTTAAAGTTAGAGAGATTATATGTTATATTATGTATAATGCAAATCTTATTGATTTTAATATAAGTTTCCTCTTATACACAGATTGTTTAATCTTTTTTTAAGAGGATTATTATTTATTCCTATTGCACTTTATTCTTACTGGTTGTACTAGATAATTTGAAAAAATTATTATAATGTGCAGCAGAAAGCAATATATATATATATATATATATGTGTAGATGTATTTCTGGCTCCAGTTCTACAATAAGTAGATACGAATGAAAGATCATCATAACAAATAAATTCCCAATCAGTAGAGATGTGTGAACTATTCGAATTCGAATCGAATCGAATCGAATCCGAATAATTCGAAAATTTCGAATCGCAAAGATTCGAATACGAATCAAATACATTAGGATTTGCGCGCATCAGCTACAAATCTGGGCCTGTGTGTATGTTCGAACTCTTAACTTGCAATTAACTTAACTTATAATTAATAAGTTAATTATAAATTACTTTAAATATTTAAATATATATTTTACTTTAAGATGATATTACAATATCAATATTTCCTTTGATATTAAAATCTTTCATCATTATTTGCATGTTTAATAGTCATGTTAAATTGTTTAATGATTCGATTCGATTTCATTCAATTCGACTCGAATTCGAATGAAATTTCATAGATTCGATTTGATTCGATTCGACATAAAAATTCTTGATTCGCACATCTCTACCAATCAGTTTTGTTATAGACTTCACAGTTTCACAAAGATGTCTATCATAACCAATTGTATGAGACATAGTTAAAAGAAAGAATATATCATTCAACCTCTTGCAGTAGATTATACACTATATTTGACTAAATATACATAGGTAATATATCTTCGTTATATGTTGCAGCAACACACATACTTTTTTTAAAAAGCATTCCACATATTTTAACCCACAACCACATATGGTTATTTTTTCGTTCATGTCTGCAGGTAGAGCATGACTAAACAAAAGAAGCCGACATTCGAATCAACATATTCCTCTTCATATAAGAGGAAAATTAATTGATATAAGAAGAAATCCTCTTGAGATAAGAGAAAAACAGTTAGAAAAATAAATCTAATAAATTTTAGATGAATGTTTCATTTTAATCGCTTTATCGAAAGAAGAATTTTCTTTTACTGTAAAAGACTTTGCTTAGAATATGAGACAATGGGAAAAATCACTTTACAAATAGAATACTTCTTTTTGGGTGTTACGTTGGAGTTTTATTTGCTTGATATTTTAGTCTGTTGAGAATACGACTGCTGTAAAAATAGGATTCTCGATTTGATAGCTCAAAAGCGCAGCGACGTTATTGATCGTCTCGAATCTAAATAAAAAGCCCGTATTTTGGAACAAAATTCCCCAACTGGTATTGTGATCGAATGCCTGATTTCGGGAATTATAATCGCGCTTTATCAGCAGACTATTTGCAGGAACTCTGCATCCAGCTTCGAGCGACCCATTAAAAATCTGTGCACGTCGAGAGACGAGTTTCTGTCCGGAAGATCCCAGGTACTTCACGCATAATACGCACCGAGTAAGACAATAGCGATCAAGCAACACGTGTCCGACTTACATGTATAATTCCCGAGCCTCGGCTCGGAGAAACCGGGAGTTACGCGTCGCTCGTAAATACAGCGGCGAAGTAACTTCGCGTCGCGGAGCAGAGCAGAGATTCATTTAATATCCGAGGAAGCAACTCGTTAACTGCAGTTTCGACGTTTACAACATTCCTGTCGCTCGGCGATTAATCTTCTCGTTAGCGGTCGACTCGCCCCGGCCGCTTTCCTCACTCCGCGACGCGGAGTTGATCGTCGCGAGCCCCGCGACTTCTCGGCCTGCGAGCAGCCCAGCTGCGCCGGCTGGAGCACGCACATTCTAGATTTTCCGAAAGAAATTCCGCTCTAGCGACGGGATATCTCGCCCTGCGCGTGTCTTTCACCTGCGCCGTGGAAGTCCTTCCCTACCACGCGCCGGGAAGAAAGAGAGAAAGACCCGGCGCGGCGCGGCGCGGTGGGAGGGAGAGTGCCGTCGACGGCGGGCCTGTTTGGGCCTGACGTCGTGCGTAAGAGGGAGGGCGAGAGGGACGATGGACGAGCGCGATCGAGATCTTCAGTAGGTCACTGGGACGTGGCTCATGGCCGAGACGAGCGTGGCTCGCACCTTCAGTCGGTCCCCGTCGGCCAGGAAAAGCACCTCTGGGCCCGTCGAATCCTCGCGCGTTCGGATACGGAGAGCACGACGGTGAGCGAGAGCGGGGAAGGAAGGCCGAAGAAAAAAACGGACACAGGGAAAAGCGGGAGAAACGAAATCGGCAGGTGAAGGAAAGCGGGCCCGATGAGGAGGACCAACTGACGCGGCTCGAGGAAGTCTTGCCGTCGCGGCCGGTGCGTTCGTGGGGTCGTTAAGGGGGAGAGGGCAGGTGGTTCCCGCGGGAGAGGATCGCTCGGGTGACGGAGCGTTTCTTCGGAACGAGGCTCCCAGGAACAGGAAGAACTCGCTACGAGGTGCATCGATTCGTTGTCCTCCCCTTCCCCTTTCACGGTGAAGCTGCCACTTTTTTTTCTTTTTCTCTTTCCCTTTTCTTTTCGGAGCTATTCGCGTTCCCCTCGCGAAAGCGGCTCAGACTCGCGTGGTGCTTCCGCTTCCGGCTGCGAGCCGGGTATCCCCCGCACCTCGTCGGGCTCGACTGCGACGTTTGGAGACCGACGTCGAATTAGTCTTCCCTCGTCACTGTGGACTGTGTGAGAGTATCGTATAAGCCACCCGTCGGCGTCGGACTGTACACGACCGTGCCTCGTGTGCGTGCGTGGTGTGATTTGTTTGGCTTGTCAATTATCGCTCGCAAGAGGGACGACGGCACCGGAGGGTGCGGAGTGGTGATCTCGTGGTGGTGTCGCGCAGCAGTGGCGAGTTTCCCACGTCCGGGGACGCGATCGATTCTCGCACGCGTCCCTGATCGTAAGTTCCGCGTTCTGAGATGTGGGTTAAACGTCGTTCTCGTTGCGTAACGCGTTCCTCGTGCAGCCTCGTGTTGACAAGTAGACATCCCACTTGCGCGTCCGGCTGGCGACGACGATTGCAGCTGACGAGGTTATTCTTTGGTCGTGCCGTTCCTCTCGCACTCTCCAGACCTTGGCCGACAATTGCCTCCAATGATTGCGTCCGCGTCGGCCGGTATTGTTCAACGTGTCGTTCACACTTGACGCGGACGCTCGTCGCGTTCGTTTTTAGCAACAAGCGAATGGAACTATATGAGCCTGCTATTGTTATTTATTTATTTATTTTTTTTTTGGCGGGAGGTGTCGCGCGTGCCTCTATCGATTCGCGAATTCGAAACTCGTGAATTCTCTCAGCGACGCAGCCGAAAGGCACTTGACCGGAAACGTCGTTTCTCTTCGGGCCGGTGAATCACGCGGGACTCCCGATGCTGCGTCTATCAATTTTTTAGAGTTTTCTTTTCATTGCAGAGAGGACACGCGCATGATGGAGAGGACGTGGCGGAATATACGGAAGACGGCCTTTGTCTTATCGCTGCCCTTGCTCTTGGCCGTAAGTAAAAATATTAGGGAAAACGTTTTCCCAAAAATTCCCCGCACCCCGGCCGGACCGCCGGCCGTCGATCGTTGAGTAGTCGATCAAGTGAGACGCGGATGGATTAACCCTTTCACTGCTGAATTAACTTCTTTTGAGAAAATTATTAAAATATTTTGGTAGTCCTACGTTCTTTTAGTCGCTTATTACGAATCTAAAGTCAGATTTGCAAAATTCAAAATGGCGGACTCAATATGGCGATCATGATGTATAAAATTAATGAAAATTCCGATTATTATTAAATAATGATCGGGTCGTGGTAAGAGCATATGATTCTAGACGATGGAACTCAATCGAGTTGGAAAAAATTTATGTGGGAAAATGTTCAATACTACATATTTATGCTTACTAGAGATTAAACATTCATTTTTGAGTAAAATAATATTGACAAGATACATGGATAAGATGGAGATACAGAATGAAAAAAAACTAGGAAAATAGAGCTAAAAGGTGCAAGAAAATCAAACTTCGGCCGTTTTTGTAGAAATATTTGTTTATAAAAAGAAATCTAACCTGGAAGAAAATACTGAAAAAAATATGTTTTTGTACAACATCAGAAAAATATTTGGTGAAAGTTTCAGACCTCTACATTCAATACTCTCCGAGGAATCGATTTTTCCCTAAAAAAAGCATTTTTTCTCAACTCTGTGATTTGTTATAAATAATCACAAATGAATAATTGGGTATAAAAACCCAGTTGGGAGTATGTTGAACAACATTCCCAGTTGGGAGTATTCAGTTATCTGGAAAATTCAAATTCCCGATTAGTTCTTCAAAATTATGTGATTTGCAACGCAAAATTGAATCAAGAAAAGTTGGGAAGTATACTCCCTACTAACTAACTAAGTGAAAGAGTTAATTCAACGCGCGATCTTATTCGACCGGTGAAAGACGAGCGAGATGAGAGAGCGGAGTCTGGCGTTGAAGTTGAAAAAGAGGAAGAGCGAGGACTTTTGGATTTCGTTTGCTCATTAATTTCGCGCACGGTTTCGCCTCTTTGACGCGAGCGCGGAGCGGCCGGTGTCATCATAATCGATTCTGACGCGCACGACCGAGAGCGAAACGTTTCGCGAATTAATCTCGCAAATAAATCAATTAGATATCACCCTCGCGGACGCGTCGGCAATTTTCTAATCCCGCCGGAGGTCGATTACGCATTCCTGCCTGCCATCGCGCGTCGCGCGACGCATCCGTTCATAACACCTTGCAGTAAATCTACATGCCGCGCGACGATCGACATTGTAATTTCACTGTGCAATAATTCCCGGTTGAACGACGAAGATTATTACTCGCGGTTAGTGCGTATTCTCCCCCTTTGGAGAGTGACAGACAGGCCGTTAATACGGTAACCGTTACACGCCGCGCTCGCCGCGGCCGGAGCTATTTACGCCGGCAGAGCCGTTCCGGAGCGTACTGTGTGTACATTGTACCTCGCGTTACATCGCCGTGACGTTTTGTGAATAATACGTGTTTAGAAAGAGAATTATTAGTCGCACTGCGCGCGCAGCGTAATAGCCGCGCTGTCACATCGGCGAGCGTGCGTCTCCCCCGCGATCATTTATCGATTCGATCTGTTTCCGCTCGAGCGGAAGCGCGATGTAATCCTTGCCGACGTTAACGCGCGCGTGTACGTGAATCCCCCCCTCCCTCCCTGCGCTCGCCGCCGGTGCCGAGCTGAGATGATCTCGATGATGACGTCTGCTCGACTTTTCCGCGAGTGTCTCAGACACGGCGTGGCTTTCCACCTAACCAGGCACGCGCGGATGAGCGTATTTCTTGAGCGGATTACATAGTCGCGCGGCTGGAGCCGCGCGGTTGTTTTCTCCTTCGTTTTGTCCTTCGCTCCTCTTCCCGCCTCTCTGCGCTCCGCCCGCGCCGTCGTCGCGAGAGCCTCACTTGGACGCGTTTCGACCCCGTGCGTCGTCGCCGCGCAAACATATTCGAATCCACGGATTTCTCGGCGGAGTCCGGAGACAAACGACGTCGTGTCCGCGACGGTGACGGGAATGCTAATTCGCGCGGAATCGATAATCCATCTATCCGGCGCGGTGATCCTGAGACGCTCGGCGGAAGGGGGGACCGGCGCGTTTTCGCGACCGTTAAAAAGTGACGAGACCGTTAAAAAATTCATCCGTACCTCGGCAAAAAGTGATACTTCATTGATGCTCGGCGGCGTTTCTTCGGGACCGCTACGCGACGGCGCGGCGCGGCGCGGCGTGCACGTGCTGCTGCTGCTGCTGCTGCTGCTGCTGCTGCTGGCCGAGAATCAACACGACGTTAAGTTAATGCTTAAGAGGAATCACCGTAGCCGCGGGCTCTGCCTGTGCCACATACACACCGCCGCGACGCGGCGCAAGGTGCTCGCGCCGGAGCAAAAGTCTGAATGAAACGCGGCGCTCCTCTCTCGGCGCGCCGCGCCGGAGAATCGCGCGGAAGTGCGGACGCGCTCGCTCGCTCGCTCGCCGTGGAACGCTAACGAATTGCTAACGAATGATGACGATTGGCCCGATCGGAGCGTTTCCCGCGCGTCTGCTTCGACCGACAATTGAGACAATCGAGTGCCGTCCGGGACCGGGGAGGGGGGATTTTCTCGAACGACAACCCGTCGCACACTGGAATATTTGTACCGAAAAGTTGGCCAAAATTATTTTTTGACGAATTTCTGTTTATCCCTTTGAAGCACGAATTTTTCTATGCAATAATAAAAGAAACTGATTATGTACACAGCGGTTTTCTGGGTCGCTGATTACGAATCCGGAGTCAAAATTTTAAAATTCAAATGGCGGATTCAATATGGCGACTTCAAATGGCTAACTTTGATATGATATTATGGATATATATCAAACTCAGCATTTATATATGTTTCTTCGATCACAGATGACAAATATAGAGTCGAAGTTAAAAAATTCAAAATGGCGGACCCAATTTTGCGAAGAAATTTTCTCAAAATTTTGCAATCTTTGTGAAATCTTCAAAATTTTGAATCCAAATTGTATGCAAAAACGTAGTCAACTTTATTAAAAACGAATATTTTGAAGATTATTTGGACCTTACTTCCGTATAAATAGCGAGGTCGTGTCTCCGGGCTTGGCCGAGAGCGGTTCTAGATTTAAAGTTTTAGCAGTTTTGTTTCTTAGGAATATCTCATTCCAAAAATTAGGCAGCCTATTAAAATAAGTTATAAAATTTCCTTATTTCCTTATTGTGTCGATTATTTTAGAAATCTGATCGCAGAAAAGTAAAAAGCGTTGAAAATATTAGGTGTACAAATGAATAATCCAAATTATTTTAAGCAGTTATGAAATCAATTTTAAATTGAATAGATTTTCCCGCTCTTTTGTGATTATGTAATGTTGACATATAGCTATTAAAAAGGACATATAGTTTGGCGAAAGGACCAACATAACCTTCAAAAATATTCAGTTCAGTACAGTCGAAAATGGCAACAGATAAGGTGCATATCCGACATTGCATTCTTTACGAATTCCAACAAGGAAAAAATGCTGCAAGAGCGTGCGAATCAATTTGTTTCTTTCTCGGCGAAGATGTTGCATCGTACGATGTGTGCGCATTTTGGTTTAAGCGGTTTAAAAGCGGTAATTTCAGTCTAATCGACAAACAACGCCCTGGAGGCCCTCCGAAGTGCGATAATGATGGTTTGGAACAACTGCTCGCTGAGAATTCGGCACAAACACAAAAAGAGCTTGCAGAACAGTTGGGAGTAACGCCTACATGAGAAGGGAAAGATCCAGAAAGAAGGAAAATGGGTTCCGCATGAACTCACTGAAACCAACAAAAATCAACGAGTGGCAGCGTGTCTTTCTCTTCTCAATAAGCAGCATCGAAAGTCTTTCTTATGGGAAATTGTTACGGGCGATGAGAAATGGATACTCTATGACGATCCGAAACGCAGAAAGTCATGGGCAAATCCTGGTGAATCATCAAAATCGGTCGCAAAACCCAATCACTTCGAAAAAGAAGATTCTTCTCTGCATTTGGTGGGATATCAAGGGCGTGCTTTATTATGAATTATTGGAACTGGGTGAAACAGTTACTGCGGACTGCTACCAACGTCAATTAATCTGCTTGAGTCAAGAATTGAAACGAAAACGCCCGTATACTGGCAAAGGAGAACGTCCAATGAAATTGTTGCATGACAATGCCAGGCCACACATTGCTTTCAATACAAAAAACACCATAATGAGTCTTGGCTGGGACGTCTTGCAGCACGGCCAGCATATTCACCAGACATTGCTCCATCCGATTCCATCACTTGTTCCAGTCGATGCAACACGCCTTGTCCGATATGCACTTCCAATCAGTGGATGAGATCCGAAAATGGCTTGACGACTTTATCGTGTCTAAAGACGTAACATTTTTTCGAGATGGAATTCATTAGCTGCCTGAAAGATGGCTTAAAGTTATAGAAAGCAACGGCGAATACTTTGATTGAACAATTTAATTTACTTTTAAAATAAACCTTGAATGTAGCTGAAAAAATTGGATTATTCATTTGTACACCTAATACAAATGCATCTACTATTTCCAACTAAATTGTATTCTAAATTTCAAAATTATGATATCAAATCTTTAGTCAGTGATTCAAACGACCCCAGAAACTCATTTTCATCGGAATTGAAAAATTTTGAAAATTTTTATCCGCCATATTGGATCCGCCATTTCGGAAATCTAATAACAAATTCGTTATCAGCCACCCAAAAAACCCCTGTACCTATTTCTGTCGAAATCGAAGGATTTTGAACATTTTTGTCCACTATATTGGATCCGCCATTTGGAATTTCGAAATTCTGGCCCCGGATTCGTAATCGGCGACCTCGAAAACCCCAGAGTATCAATTGTTATCCATATAGCTATAATTGTTCTCTCTGACACGAACTTTTTGTACAAAAACCACTGTTTCTTTGCGTTTAACTATTTATATAAACAATTTCATAAAC